TAATGACGTCCATGGTCTACTGCGTTCTCAGAAGAGAGCATCCATGCCCGCAACCTAATGACGTCCATGGTCTACTGCGTTCTCAGAACAGAGCATCCATGCCCGCAACCTAATGACGTCCATGGTCTAGTGCGTTCTCCCAACAGAGCATCCATGCCCGCAACCTAATGACGTCCATGGTCTACTGCGCTTGGAGAACTGAGCATCCATGCCCGCGACCTGATGACGTCCGTGTTGCTACTGTTACTCGTACTACTACTTCTAACAGCACGTCGGTACCAACTTCTAATAGTACTACTCGTACTGTGGCACTCCTCGGATATGTTTGCATAGGGAAGAAAAGCCATGTAGGTTGGAGACGCTTTGTCATTCTGCACAGACTTTCGTGCCGCTCGCTCCTTCAAGCTCTGGGGTCAAGAGCTTTAGGGTTTGCACGCATGTTTTTTCGCATGCGATGACCGGGGCCATGTCCGATTCGACCTCGTGGTTGTTCTCGGCTCCTTTGTCTTGGGAGGACGCTTCCACTGCCTCTGTCTGGGTTCCGGGCTTCCAGTTGTTTCTTTTGGTCTTGCAGGGATTCTGCCTGTCGTAGACCTGCCGGAGTCCCTGCAGGAAATCAATGCGACGGAGCCGTACTTACTGCCACCTGCGGCGGTGGACATATTCTATGCTCCACTTGATGTTGACTTGCTTCCAACCGACGAGGCAAGCCAAGCACCCAGAAAGCCAGAAGCGTAGCCTCAGTAAACGGCCTTTCGGTTTTTCACGTTCGCACACGCTCCCAGTGGCTTCTCTGCTCCACAGGAGTTTTGCGGCGGCTCTCTGACGCCGTGCTCCTGCAGCTCTCGGTGTAGTTCTGCTTCGGACGATCGGAGCTGCTCGACACCGGCAGAACGCCAGGTTTCCCAGCAGGTCGGGCTTGAGGGTTTAGTTTCAGGGATCTTCGGTGCTTGCTTGTGCGTGATTGTTCTTGTACGAGTTCTTTTATTTTCGAGTCATAGTTCGTTTCTCGTCCAAGTAGTGTTCCGGGTTTAGGGTTTGCGGCTTTAGGGTTTCGTTTCAGGGATCTTCGGTGCTTGATTGTGCGTGATTGTTCTTGTCTGAGTTCCTTTCTATTCGAGTCATAATTCGTTTCTCGTCCAAGTAGTGTTCCGGGTTTAGGGTTTGCGGCTTTTAGGGTTGCAGTCTTTGGCCTTAAACCTGAACCCCAGACTGTTCTAGGTTCTAAGGCCTAAGCCTCAAGCTTTCCCTGTCCAGCCTAAAGCTCACGTGACATGCTGCAGGATTCTGACACTTTGTCTTCTGCGTCTTTCTGGAGCCTTGCTGCCAGCAGTGCTTTCGAGGGTCAGAGTCGCTCCACGCCAGCAGCACGGCAAGTTCGGACCGAAGTGTCGGAGCAGCCGCGTTCCCCGACGGACTCCGCGGCTCTTCTGCACGTGCTTTCCGCTCTGTCTACGTTTTAAGGTTCGGCCCGAAGCTTTGCCCTCTGCCCTCCACATCCCTGAACGTCCCTGAAACTGGGTGTGCTGCAGGTCCTTGACGTTGTGGCTTCCCCCTCGTCGGTCTGCCCAGACGGAGAGCCCGGCCACCAGACGAGGACAGCCGTGGACGCTTTTTCCCCGACGACGAGTACGCGTTACAGTTTCCTCGACAACCCGATGCTTCTCAGTCCCGCATCAACACACGACAGTCCGCGGAGCAGACGCTTGAAAGCTTTCCATGCTCTCAGCCGTCCTACGTGCCCAGCGGCGGCTTCTTGGAATCCGCATCGCTTGACTTCGGCCTTGCAGACACGCCAGCAGCGAGAGTTCAAGTGGGGCAACTGTCCTCGCTGTGGTGGCGCCATGTCTCCGTACATTTATCAGGGAGGGTCGCAACTTGGCGGCTTCTGTATTTCTATTCTTTCCTTCTTAGCCGGGTTCCGCTGCTTCACTGGGTTTAGGGCTGTCGTCCTAACGTGCACCTGTCGTCGAAGCCTTGCTTTGTCTGTCTTCCTAAGGCGCGCAGGACACGCAGTCTTGCAGTGTAACGCGTGGTGGCGCCGAACAACAGGCGGACAGAGGAAATGCTGGGGATCCGTACCTTTCCCCATGTCTCGCTTCGCAGCTGCGCCGAGATGGTTCCGGGAGGCTTATCAGGACCACGCTTTGCCTCGACTAAAGACTGCTGCGGAAAGCCTAGGGCTGTAGCTTCCTGTGACGCCTCCCGCGGGTTGGCAGCCTCAAGCTCTCTAGTACGCCTATTGCCAGGACATCGCCGTGGCTTTCAAGCGCAACTCCCACCCGTTCTGATGGACTCTGGCCTTGCAGCCAAAAACGATGAGACGTCTGGGGTTTCGGGGTTTCGGGTTTAGGGAGTTCGGGTTTAGGTGTTTAGGCCTTTACGGGTTTAAGGGTTTAGGGTTTAGGGGTGTCCGGTTTAGGGCTTACGGCTTGAGGGTTTAATTTCAGGGATCTTCGGTGCTTGCTTGTGCGTGATTGTTCTTGTACGAGTTCTATTTTCGAGTCATAGTTCGTTTCTCGTCCAAGTCGTGTTCCGGGTTTAGGGTTTGCGGCTTTAGGGCTTAGTTTCACGGATCTTCGGTGCTTGATTGTGCGTCATTGTTCTTGTCAGAGTTCCTTTCTATTCGAGTCATAGTTCGTTTCTCGTCCAAGTAGTGTTCCTAGTCAGGGTGCAGGGAATGTTACACTACTCAGCCGTTCAGCCCAACCGAACTGAAAACCTCTTCCCCTTGTTCGGGTTCCCTGGCCCTGCGGGACAGTGCACCTCCTCCAAAAGAAGCCAATGGCATCCAAAGGCTCTGCTGTGGCATCCACAAAGAACAACCCTGCCCCAAATCCTAAACCCTACACCATAAACCCTTAACCCTATATAACACCTGCCAGAGCAACAAGGAAGTTGATCATGCTGATGATGATGATGCTGCCCATGATGGATGGTGATGAAGATGGTGATGCTGATGTCAAAGCTTCATGATGCTGAAAATCCTGCTGCTGCTGATTTGCTTCGTCTTGCCCCTAGCAGTTTTCTAGCCAGGAATACTTACACCAGCTGCCATCTACCCTGAACTTTCCATTTTCGTCTCCAAGATTTCAAGAATAGCCTTCTTGCGCTGCTAGCTCTATGAAACTGTGACACGTAGTGCCAAGTTCATGGATCCCAACCCTTCGCGGTCATGGTGGGTTCCAAGCTGCGGCCTTCCAAATTCGCGGCACCCAAAAGAGCCGCTCAACGAAAGATCTGGCGGGGAGTGAAAAACACTGAGCACATCAAGTTGGGACTCAAGTCTGCTAGCAGAAGCTCTCGACACAAGAAGACTGCTTTTCGCAAATTGTCGCGATGCAAGCTGGATAGAACGTATGCAGATATAGTGCTGCTGTCTGACAAGCAGGCGGAAACCCTCTTCAGAGAGGCTGGTGTCTTGGGGCCTCGAAAAGAGAGGCTCACCTGCTGGCAATGCGGATCCAAGATGAAGCCGTGCTCTGCAGCCTCCTCGTCTTCTGGCAAATCTTCCAAGGACGTCCAAGAATGTCCGCGTTGCAGAGACGCCAGCCGACACAAGCTGCAGATCAGTACTAGCTCCTTGGCTTACTCCCCTTGGTGGAATGGATCTAGGCGCGGCTATGTGCCCCAGTACAAGCTGTACTTGCGCACAGCTTTTGCGCTCGGCGTCGAGCTTCCTCTGGGCAGCCTCCCGCATGTAGTTCCTGACAAAGAGGCAACGGTGGGTGAGGCAGTGGGGTTCAAGAATACGTTGACTCAAATGGTTTAGGATGTTGTTAATGTCTTCTGCTTGCAGACATTGACCCTCAAACCCTTAGCCCCAGCTAACTCCGACTTCATGCCGCAGGATACGCTCGCCAAGTGGGTGGAACAGATGCGTTTTGCATTGGCTTATGCAGAGCGGAAAGAGGGCCGTGACGTCGAGTTCAAAAAAGATGTCGTGGAAGCCGATGGCAGTTCTTTCCTCAAGCATGCTAAGACCTCCGACCCGACGCATCTGAATCGTAGACGAATGAAGAAACCTGCTGCAACCAAGCAAGTTCTCAAGAAGAGTGCGAAGCCCAAGATGAAAGCTCGTGGCACGAACCAAAAGATTGTGCACCATGGTCGCTTTCTCGTCATGACTGGCCGTGAGTCCAACAAGACTGTCTTGCTGCCCACGCGAGCCAAGACTACTGCCAAAGGACTCCCGACACATGCTAGCTATTCCGCTTCGCTTAGTAAACCGGAACGTACATCAAGCGAGGTCTGCTCTTGACTCCCCCACAACCCTAATCCCTGAACCGTAGAGCCCAAACCGTAAACCCTAAACCTTAAATCCTGAACCTCCTACCCTAGACTTCCAAACCTGAACCTCCTGCCCTAAACCCTAAACTGGAGGAGCACCGCCGCCTGTGGAAAGCAAGGAGGAGGTTCTCAAGGCGTACGAAAAGCACGTGGTTGCTGACACGTGCCTGGCTGCACACGACAGCGCTCGCTCGCTCGTGGCCGCCAGTGCTGAGATGGGCATGCCAGCTGCCACTGCCAGACATAGTGTGGACGAGATGACGCCTGTCAAGAAGCACAAGCTCAGCAAGCTCACCGACAAGCAAAAAAAACTTGTCAAGCAGCTCAGCACCCGCAAGCAGCCAGCTGCCGTGCTCACGCCGCGCACAGTCGCGGTCGTTGGCGGCGACAACAAGGCGGAAGCGCAGTTCTCCGCTGTCAAGAGGATAATGAGAAAGCAGAACCTCTTGGGCCGGACTTCGCCGAAGATGATCGACTATGCTGTCTTGGCCACACAACGTCTTCGACGGCAGCCTGGCTATTGGACCGTGCTGAAGGCCTTGGCGGTGTACAGACGAGATCGTGTGCACGAGCTGGGGCACGCGCCTCACGAGTTTCTCGAGCCTGCAAAAGACACAGGCTGGCTGAAGCTCTGACTTCCTGAACGGCAAAAACATGTGCGAGGGAACAGCTTCCGGAGTAAACGTCCTTACTGAAACGCCTCGATGTGTCCAAAACCCAAGCCGCAGCGCACTTATAACATTTTTTTTCGTAGTTTCCGTGCCTCAGAGTTGTTCACTCCCCGACATTCCAAAGCCTGAAAGTGCTGCAATTACCACGACATTCGGCTTCGCCTGCTCCTTTGACCTTGGAAAAGCGCGCGTTTACAGCACGTCGGAACGTTGTTCCAGGAAATCCCTCAAAATTTTGCTTCAGGAAATTAAAAGGAATTCCAAGCATTGACATTCACACTTGAGTCCGTTATCTAGACAACTTGGAGGCCCAGGGGACTTAGTAAGTCGGTTATAAGTAAGGTTAAAATTGGGGGTAACTCCATTTAGGGTACTTATAACTCTACTTACAACCTTCTTACTAAGTCCCCTGGACCTCCAAGAAAGCCCCAAACCCCTAAACCCTAAACCCCTAAACCCCTAAACCCTGAACCCTAAAACCCAAAGCTTGGATGGCTAAGGCGGCGGCGGCGATGGAAAGACCCTCCTGCCCAGGGAGAACCAGACCCAGACCTTCCAAAAATCCCTTCCTTAAGGAAGGTACCTTAAGTCCTAATTAGGCATCCTACCATAACTTCAGGTATACTGTATTCCTTCAAACAAAAGTATGATCCTACTACCATAACTTTAGGTATATTCCTCTAAATGTGTTTGGAAGGTCTGGGTATGGGTAGCTCTCTAGATTGGGGTCCTTTGTAGGATTTTGCAAGGGTGCCGGACCGCTTTGGGGACCTAAAAAGGTGCCCTCATTTAGAGAACTACACGTGTGATGCAGAGTGCTGTATCCCACGAAACCCTAAACCCTAAACCCCTAAACCCTAAACCCCCTAAACCCTAAACTCATCTCGGCAAGCACCGATTCAGGTCCCGTGCTCGGCCGGTGTTGCACGAGGAGGAGGAGGAGGTTCTCGAGGCCGCTCATCATCCGCAAGAAATCCCGACCGGTTTAGGGTTTAGGGCGTAGGGTTTAGGGTTTAGGGGTTCCGGGGTTTAGGGTATCTCCGTCCGGCTCAGTGGACGAGGATTCCATGAGCTTCCAAAGCTCCTCGTCGTCAGAAGGCATGCTGTCAGTGTCCATAGCCTTGTCCAAGGTGTTTGAAGAGCTGGCGTCGTTGTTGGGTCATCATTGCGGCTTTGAGTCTTGCTCTCACATGAAGGCAAGGATCCAGGAACCTCGTCCTACCCCGAGATGACGGATTCCTTGAATGAGGTCGCCACAATGAAGATGCCTCGCAACCACTTGCCCATGGAGGATGTCCCCAGAAGCTTGAGGAAATGAGCTAGGGATGTGATTACGGCTGCGTGGCTATCCCAAACCCAAAACCCTGAGGCTGCGTGGATGAGGGCTTGAAGGCTTGAGCCCGCGGATTGGAGCTTCGGAAGCCTGACAAAGTGCTCGTGGTGGTTTTCTGGCTTCTTTTAGGGTTTAGGGTTTAGGGGTTTTGGGGTTTTGGGTTTAGGGTTTGGGGATTGGGGGTTTCGGGCCTAGAGCTTCTGTTCATATAGGGGCCGTGACACCTATATGAACAGAAGCTGACGCGGGTGAACTCCAAGCATGCCTTCATGGGAACCTGGTTAAGAAACCTTGGGCTCTTACTACTCTTGATGATACAAATCCTGCGTTGCACCCATAATAAGGAACATACCATAATTCCCATAGTTTAGGGTCCTTAAGGTGATGCAGGATTTATATCAGATATCTTACATGGGACCAGGGTTTCTTAACCAGGTTCCTACATCAATTCTCTGGTGCATCTATCGTCGCCAGTGTCTGGATCCTTTTCTGGGTTATTCTTATAAGGTTCCCAAATATATAGCTGGTTTAACCAAAAAGAGGAGTGACGATGGAGCCTGGCAAACAGCTTGCGAAACCATATGCCCGAAACCCCGTTAAAATCCAGGAAGAACCCTAGCACAACATCTGCAATGTCCTTTTAACAGCCTCCGCCCCTTGAAAAACCCTGATCCTGTGAACCCTAAACCCTAAACACTAAAGCCTCCAATCCTTTAAAGATCCCTTACCCATGAAACCTAAATCTTGAAAGAACCCTAAACCCTACCTCCAGGACGAAATTAACCCTAAAAGGGTTTAAGGTCCATATACCATAAAAAGGTTCATAGTATAAGGGTATCGGGTCCCTACTTTTAAGGCTCACTTGGTCCACTTCAGGTAAACCCTGAACACTAAACCCTAAACCCCTAGCCTAAACCCTGAACCGTACTTGGAGGCCCAGGGGACTTGGTACGTCGGTTATAAGTGGGGTTGTAACTGGGATAACTCCATTTAGGGCACTCATAACTCTACTTATAAGCTACTTACCAGGTCCCCGGCGCCTCTAAGCAAACTCTAAACCCCCTACACCTTAAACCCCAAACCGTGGAACCCTTAAAGGAGCCCTTAAACCCCTAAACCCTGATCCTCTTAGTAGCTGAACCCGAGCGCGCCAGCTGCAAGGACTGGACCAAGGAGACCAAGAGCTTCACGGCAAACTCCCAGGCGAGGTAGCGAACGGCAAAGACTCCTGGCTCCATACGGTTGCCCCAAAAGGGTTCCTTAAGGGTCCCTTTCAGGGTTTCTATAAAGGTACTATAAGGCTTTAGGGTTTAAGGGTGCTAAGTAAGTACTGTTGACGATATAAAATCCTGCCTGACCTCAACGACCCCTAAACTATGGGAATTATGGCATTACTCCTCATTATGGGTAATGCGGGGTTTCTATCATCAAGCGTTTCAGGTTTAGGGGTTTTCTGGGTTTATAAAACTCAGGGCTCAGGGCAGTTTAAAGGGTTCCTACTCCTTTAGGGGTTCCTCTAAGAGTTGTTCTCTACTTGATTTTGCAGGACTTAGGGCTGAGGGGCTTTAAGGAGTGGGGTCCAGGGTTTAAGATATACGGCGTTCTCTTAGGGCTTCCTATACGTTGATCATAAGCGCTGTATCTATACGGGATTCTCGTTTTCTAGGGTTCTACACATTCGGGCTGGGGCTTAGGGTACCTTGAGGCGTTCTTGTTTTAAAGGCTCAGAGCTTTGCGGGCCCAGCATTCAGCGTCCATGGCCTCGAGAGGGGGGTTTAGGGATTACGGTTGAGGCTTTGGTGTAGCGCATCATATTGATATATCTCCTGCTCGCGGGCACATTGAGAACCGCAGTTACTATTAAATTCGCCTCGGCCCCGGCCGAAGCGGTCAGAGGTTCCTATTCGGATTCCCTCTATTTCCCACCTCTCAATCCCCTTTCCAGGGACCCCACCCCTACGAAGTGGTGGTTGTGGGCGGGCGAATTTCGTCTGTGTGAACCCATAAATGA